GACATCAGCCTTGAAAAAACCACGAAAACTGCTCTGGGGAACTACATTTAATTTAGTTTTTTTTTTTTTTTTTAATCAAGCTAATTTGTACAAATTGAAATAAATAACAGAATACAGAAACTATGGATATGTATGATATATTGGAGAAGAGTCTACAGGAGGAGATTTTTTCAATCTGTTGGAGGAGATTTTTTCAAGCAAGGCATGCTCATGAATAGATGAGTGTTTCTGAAGAAAGCAATATGCTTTTGGTTAAGCTGATTTCTTTAACTGAGAAAATTTGGATTTATAAGAAAACATGAAGTGAGAATAAAAAGAAAAAAATTGGGTTAGAAAATTCCATTTTCATTATGGAGTGAGACAGGAAACAATGGGAGGTTTGGCCTGACTTCTGTGGGGATAAGGCTATATAAATTAGGGCTTGTCAGCTGGGAAGAGAAGTATCTAAATTTTATATAGTCATGAATGACAAAGAGAAGCTGAATAGAGAATGATTAATCATTCTGTCTTTCTCAGAAAACCAGAACTAAGGGGCACCCAATCAAATTACTAAGCAGCAGATTTTAAAGTAGATAATAAGAAGTAGTTTTTCTAACAATACATTATTAAATTGCAGCTCTAATTGCCACAGGGGGTTGTAGAGCCCTCATGTTTAAATGGCTTAAAAATGGGTCTCAGCAAATGGAATATTATTACACATTGGTTGCTATGAAAATTAAATGATCCAGATGTCCTGATTCAATGACTTCTGAAAGAGGGAAAATATCCCTCAATATTTTTCTTGTTTCTGAGATATTTTCCTTACAAAGCTACTATCAGCCCTTGCTAAAGGCAGAATACTGGATAGGATGCACTTCTGCTGGCATGATAGTGGCTCTATTTTTATAAAACAACTTTCACAGCCATTTTTCAGACTGGAACTGCACTTTAAAATAATCTCACAAGACTTGAAGTTTACTGTCCGTGCTCTGACCTTATTGTTACACATCTTTTGTATAGCCCAGACTGGATTACAGCAATTAATTCTTTACTGGCTTGCCTGAAAGGCAGATCGAGCCTGCCTGCAGCTATTGCAGCATAAAGCAACAAGCTTATTACCAGAAAAGAGCAGATGGGATTTGCGGACTTCCGGCTTCTTTGTTCTCTGCATCAACACCCTATTAGTGACTACACTGATTCAGAAATTCCTAACAGAGGATACAGTGTAAGTAGAATTCTATGGTAGATTTCTACTGATTTAGGGCATAAGATTTCCCAAGTCTAAGAGTAACAGGTTTCATGGCACATTAGGATGTTTGGAGTTGGGGTTAGACACATTTTATCAATGCCTTAAAAAAAAGAATGGAACCATCAAGCCTTCAGTGCAGTTTGTAAAGTGCTGATGAAGTTCTGGGTTTATCAAACTCATCATTTATTGCTGACATACTGAATAGAACTCATTAACAATTTATTAGTAATGTCAATATTGGGAGGAGAGTAATTTATGTTTAAAAACCTAAACAATTAGGTTAACTATTTGAATGACTAAGATGTTCAAATCATCTCTGCAGCATTCAAACTGACCAACCTGAGTACCATGGGACAGTGTATTCATCAACATACATTTTACCTGCCAGCACCTCCGTGTGAAACTATGTTCTTAGTGGAATTATGTGTTAGTGAAATTACAAGTACACTTAAAATAGAGCAACAAATACAACACAGTGAAATGCATTTTTATTCTTTACTAAATCCACTTGTACAGGAAAGGCCTGAAAAAGACAGTCTCTCACAGTGACTGTGAGCATGGTAGCTGAAGGATGCACAACTTCAAGCTGCTTTCTACCCATACTACTGGGTATCTCGCTTAAGAAGTCCCAGTCAAGGAGGAGCCAATCTCTGGGCTGTTTTCTTGGTGATATGATGCCTGTGATCAATGCATTTCTCTGGAGAAGATGCATTTGTACCCATGCTAGGGCACGGCACTGAGTCCTAAGCTTTTTCTCTCTGGCAACTGAGTTCTGAAATGAATGCCTGCAAGCAACATTTGTGTAGGTGGCACAAAGAGTAGAGGGCATTTGAAAATTTTCAACTGCTTGTACTCATAACCGAGGACAAGCATTCCCATGGTGACTCTTAAGATCCTGTGCTATGATGCTACATGCTCTGCCCTGTCTTCAAATGTGTCTCCTGACTGGTGTCTGCATCAAGATATTTTTAGTGATGCAATATCCAGAACACACTGTCATATTCCTGTTATGAAAACTGAAACTTTAAATAATAAAAACCCATTTAGTGGGGTTTTTCTGCTGCACTAAAAGATTTTGGATCCTTGGTTCAAATTAAAAACAAAAACCTCCATTTTGAATCTCTTTTGATACTTCACAGAATCAGCAGGGTTGGAAGACACCTTCAAGATCATCTAGTCCAACCATCAACCTGGCACCGCTATTATCACCCCTAAACCATATCCCCAACTGCCACATCCAGACACCTCCTGAATGCTTCCAGAGAGAGTGGTGGAACCACTAATGTAATAAATTACATGGGCAACTAATTGCAATGCCTAACTACTGCTTCAGTGAAAAAAAATGCTATGATATGTAACTGAAGCTCTACTTCCTCATTGCATCCTCCAGGACTGATATTATAATAAACTTCTTAGCTTTTTTTTTTCATTGTACACTAGTGATGTATAATAAATTCAATATTACATATGCTGCTAATGAATCTTTTTATATAATTTTGCAATCTTGCTGGAGTAACAATGCACATCTAAGAATTAAGGCTAGTACCATTATTAGTGATAACAAACTGAGAGACACACATTTTGCCTGGGACTAAACATGTAGAAGCTCAATTCTCCATTCACTTGTGCAAATAAAAATTACAGATATCTGTAGTAGTGAAAACTGGATTATGTTACTCATTCTAATAAAACATGGTAGAATTGGGGTCAGATGGCTTTACACTAACATTTCCCCCTTCTTTCTTCCAAAGGGACAGGGAAGACACAACCAAAGTTTTGTCTTTGCTATCCGGTTGCAAAGTAGTACACTGGGGGCTACTGAGGGTATTTACTCTCTTTACCCTGATAGAAATTATATCATCTGGAAGGCAATGCTTTGCACTCCACTCTAGCTTCCTTTTTTGTCATTCTTTTAGAACTGGTTGTTATTATCTATACTAAAAGAATGCTTCAAAGACTGACAAACAATAGTGCTGTTGCCCTGTGCACATGCAGAAGAAAGTTTCCAGATTATAAACAAAAGAGACAAAACTGTGACAGGCTGGATGATTCCAAAGTTATCACTTATGCCCTGAACAGAGAATCACTGTCTGTTCCTCCTTACACCAGAAACCTGAGACAGCAACAAAGCGGGGTGAAGGCAGCAGTGGCTGACAGTGCTACTGCTCTGCCTAAAGCTGATGTTCAACAGCTGGGTAGTGACTGACCAATAGATATTTTTAGTGGGTAGCTGAGCAATTTACAACCCTTAGATCCACGGAATCATTTAGGCTGGCAAAGACATCAAAGATCACTGAGTGTGTTAACCCAGCACTGCCCACTCCTGGCTAAACCATCCCCAAGTGCCACATCTACACTTCTTTCAAATACCTGCAGGATGGTGACTCAAACACTTCGCTGGGCACTCTGTTCTAATGCTTGATGGCACTTTTGGTGAAGAAATATTTTATAATCTCTAATCTAAACCTGCCCTGACTTCACGACATTTGCTCCTGATTTCATATCAGAGCCGTAGGAAATTAAGGACTGTGACTCAGAAGGTTGTCCCCTAAAGCTTTAGCCAGAGAAAATGAACTGAACGAGGGTTGTGCGATGTCTGAGCTGTCCTGGGCAACACTGAATCCCTGCTCACCTCCCAGGTGACACAAGGGACACAAGCAATGGCTTCCTACAGTGCTGGGGAATGAAAGACAACACAAAACCACTGCTGTAAGTGAACACTACTCATACGTCTCTCAAAGATCTGCAAGCTGCAAGCCCACCTATGTACCTGGATTGTGTTAAGAAAGACATTTCAATAAGAGGGCATCTTTCACCTCAGGAGCTCTCCTATACATAACCAAAACATAGTTGACGTAGTTTTTAGCAATGCTCGGTTCAGTGTTTGCTTCACCACCAACGCAACTTCCAAAACGTGTCGCTTTCCTCGCTTTGTGCCAAAACTCCCAGAATCAGCATGTTTCAAACCTACAAACGGCGGCTTTTGGCTGAATTAGCTCCTTTCAAGCCCAACAAAGCCTCTATTTGTGATTCCCATTCCCCTCACACTCTCAATCTGCATAATTACAACCTGACACCACCAGGCTCTAATTACACGGCTCACGAGAGGCGCGGCGCCCTGGGCCGGCTCCAGCCCGCGGCCGAGGCGGGGCGAGCCGCACTGGGGGCACTGGAGGAAGGCACTTCATTCTTTAGGCACCCGGGGCTCCCCTCGGAGGTGGTGCCTGCCGCCCTTCCCCGGGGCTGGATGGCGGGGGCGCCGGGCGGCTCTTTGTTCCTGCCGAGTGCGTGTGCGCGGCGCTCGGGCTGCCGGAGTGGGAGGGGATCCGGCCCGCGCCGCCGTTAACGGGAGGTGCAGGAGCGGCGGAGCTGGGCCGGCCGGGCGGGCGGCTCAGCGGCTCAGGGCCGGACCCCGGCGCTGCCAGCGGCGCTGCCCGGCGCTCCCGCCTCCCCCGGGGGCCGGGCGCTGCCCTCCGGCGGCGCGGCGGAGCAGGTGCCGGCGGCGGCAGCGGGCCGGCAGGATGGAGGCTGCCTTGCTGAAGCCGGCGATGATGGCGGAGGTGAAGGGGAGCGGCGCCGGCTCTGCCGTTAGCGCCGAGCTGGAGGTGAAGAAGCTGCAGGAGCTGGTGCGGAAGCTGGAGAAGCAGAACGAGCAGCTCCGGAGCCGCGCCGCCGCCGCCGCGGTGGCCGCCGGCCCGCCCAGCCCGCACCTGCTGCTGGCCCCGCCGCCGGCCCCGGGCGGGCTGCGCCCCGCCAGCCCCCCAGCCGCGGGCCCGCCGTGCATGCCCAGCCCGGTGCCCACCCTGCTGTGCCCGCCGGAGCCCCTCGCCTACTTCAAGCCCTCGCCCGGGCCGCCGGCCGCTGGCGGCGGGCAGGAAGGCGGCGGCGGCACGGGGGCGGCGGCCACGGTGCTGGACGAGGTGGCGGTGTTGGAGCTGGAGGACGGCTGCGGAGAGGACGAGGATACATGGTACATGCGGCTCGGCCCTGCCCTGCTCCCCGCCCGGCCCGGCTGTGCCCCCCGGCCGGGCCTCCCGCAGCGGTCTCCCGGCTCTGAGTAGCGTTAGCCCCCAAATCCACTTGATCTCCCTGCTTAGACTGAAATCTGCTTTTTTTCTCCTTTTTATTCCCCCCTCCAAACCATGCCGCCCTGCCGAGGGAAGGGCCCCATGTACGAGACGCGGCTCCGGTCGGGGCTTCACCGCTCGGCTCGCCCCGGGCGTCGCGCCCTCCGTGGGGAGCAGAGCTCGTTTTCCACCCCGAGGAATATCGTTCAGATCTCAGCCTAGTTTCAGCCCCGTGTTTACATAAGGAATTAAAAATAGCGGAATTTCGTTCCGGGAAAGCCTTGATCTGAGCAGCGCTGCCTGCTCATCCTAAAATCTGCCAAATTGACTCCCATCTTCAGGGATTTGGGAGGGCTTTTGTCTTTTAGGCGTTGATCTAAATTGTGTATCTTACGCGCCCACGTAGCTTGAAAAGGCACGGCAGGGTGCTGGGAAATGGAATAAATCGGAAATGAATAGCGAAATGGATAGAGCAAAAAATGAAATCGACCTGGACTGGTTAACGTGTGTAACCCGTAATGGTTACACTCCCGTAAAAAGAAACAGAAGGGGAGACTGCAAGGTAGAGGTATAAGTAGATCAGTGAAGCTGGTGCCTCAAAACCTGTTTCAGCAGCGTGGGCGAGCATCACAGGGGCAGTGCTGGAATACTGTGTTGGCCGTTCAGCCATGTGGAACGTCAATTTGTTTTCAAGTGTTAATAGCAATATATAGATTACCTTTATTTAAATAAGTTTTAGAGTATCTGTCTTAGCTTCCACGTAGCTTTCCTTTTTATGAGGTTAGTTTTTGTATCAAGCTATAAGTTAATGTCAGATGAGAATAAAATGTAGTATAAAAAAGCTGAGATATGTTCAAATATCCTTAATTTTGGTCGAAGATAAAATGTTCAAAAATTAATCTTAATATCTGAAATGTTTCTGATTGTTGTATGTGCTTCATGGTACACAATATCGTGTTTCTGAAAATGGCTTTTGAGAATCATGTACAAATTGTGTGGAAATTTTTGTCAGCGTTGCTTCATTGTGTGTGTGGTTGGTCTGCAGGGCTGGCTTGGGCTTGTCAGTCCGACTTAAATAAAATTTTACATTGGTTCTAACTTCTAGCTTTCCTAGCATTAAGGAATATCTGATTTGTTTGATAATGTCTTGTTAAACAAAATGCTTTCCTTGTCAACCTTTTACGGTGGTAGTCTGTCATTGTTGTGCCATAGTGAAATTTCCAATTTGATTTCCTCCCTGGGAGCAATCCTAGATTTGGGTGCCAAAATTTACCTGTATGTCACATATGTGTGTGTCCACAGGCAGTATTTCATGACAGCAATTTGTTAACAAATTTATTGCACTAGGAGTAGTTGTTTTAACTGTTGAATGTTTTTAGTTCAAGGATAAATCTCCATCATTGTCCATGAAAGGTTGGGCGTGTGATGCCAGTCGCTTGGGGCTTTTTTGTAATCTCAGTCTTTAAAGCAAACTGGAAAGCCAGAGCCTTCAGTGCACATCCTAGGTTTTGATTTGTAATTTTAGGCCTTAAATACCTTTGAGGTTTTGTGTTTTGCTTGCCTTTTTTTTTGTTTTTGACTGCAGTTACAAAAAACCCAAGACCAACCAACCAACCTTGCCAAACTGCAGACAAGTCAAACTACTTTGTAGTGTTCAGCTTTTCACAGGGAAATCATCAGTCAGATGTTTAGCTTTTGAAGTACTTCTGCAGGTTAACAGGAAACCTAAAAGCTTTTCTTTCCTTTGCTTTTTGGTTTTCTCAGCATCATTTTTTAAATGTGTGGTCAGGCACTGCAGGAAGTGTGGGGAAATGAGTCCTCTCCTCAGAGCAATTCAGTAGTTGAGCTCTGCTGGGATTGCCAAGAGAGGGAGATGGCAATCGTAGTGAGGATATTTGTTCCTTGAGAGCTGGATAGACAGTGCTGATTGACTTCAAAGGCAAAGAACTGCATGGAGCAGCCACTGGAGAGGGGGTGCTCTGGTGGGACTTGGGTAGCTCTTGAGCCAGAACTGTGAAGGTGAAAAGCTGCTAATACCTGTTAGCGACCCCTTGAAGGGCAAAATCCTGTTTAGTTTTTGGTCTTGCCTTTCACTCCCCCTCTGTACAGGCCTGATCCCTTTAAGGCATGTGAAGTGTTTTTTCTGGTGCCTTGATAATCTGGCTCTGGGTGTCCCTAGCCCCATGTCTTGGAGGTGGTCAGGCCAGGGAGCTGTGAGTCGGCATCTTGTCCAGCAGACAAGAATAGTTTGCTCCCTGGAAGATTTGCACTCTCCCAGGTGAGTTGGCATCTGCTGTGCCTGCTAATCTGCTAGGGCGACAGCAGCAACCCAGATCTCAGCCTCAAGAATTCTCCCATGAAATCTGCTTTGAAACCTGCTTTCCTGAGGTGCAACTGATCAGTTGCCAACTCTTGTCTGAGAATAATGCATGTACGCTACCTTTTTTTTGCATATGTGCTTTTTTTTTTCTTTTCTGCTGCTGTTGAATGTCAAAAATAGATTTTCAGTGTTTTCTCATTGAATGTTTTTTAATCATTACAAATATGACTTGAACAACTTCTGGTTCATCTGTGGGAAGATAAATTCAGAGGCTGAAATTATCTAAATCTCCAGTAAATATAAGTCTAGGGAAAAACGTGCAACTTTGGTGTGTGTACAGCACTTAATACACTTGAACTTTGGGCAATGCTGAAATTTAGACAATGGTAGTGATTAGATAGAAGATTTTAATGTGTAATCTACTTGAACTTTGTTTGGACGTGCCAGACCTGTAGAGTTGATATTTTGCCACCTATTTTTCTGAGGAGGGAAGAAAGAAAAGAAATGTAAACTCTTCTACTTCAGGATATGTTTCTTTTTATTAGATATCCTCCTGCAGGGCTCTGGATGTTATAAATTATTAGTGATCTAATAGGAAAATGAGCATACAAAAGCAAGCTTTGCAGTACTGCATATCTTGCTGATACTTCTGTGTGTTTTGGTTAAGGTTGTACGTCTTGCCTACCAAGACTCGCACTCCTCAAGAGAAATCACTGACTCCTCTGCAGTGGTGCAGACGTGTTCTGGATCATCCAACTCCTGAGATAGAAGCTGCAAAACGTTCCCTATGCTTTAGACTGGAGCAAGGTAATCTTATTGTGTTAATTCTGTTATTAGGAGGTTTGCATTTCTGGTCTGGTGTTTCACTCCTCTTTGGTGTTTTCACAATTTAGCAGGCTTTACACATGGCAGATATGGAGTTTCCTCATATATATGCAAGTCTTCCTTCATTACATAAATGCTAACAAATGATTGAATTTTTTTGTTTCTGATCATGCAGTTTTGAAAGTATTTGCCTCCTTTGTTATCCATTTTTTTCTCCTGCACAACTTGTTCTAACTTGTCAGTTTTCATCCAGGGCTTAAAATAGAGGGCCTCCTCGAAATACTGATGCTGACTTTACTATTGGTATATCTATTGAGGTTTGGAAAAGGGTGCTTGTAGTTTTTTGTGAAGTCAGAGTTATTATGGGGCTATAAATCTTTACAGACATATTTATCAACATATGATGTAGTGTTAGAACTTTGCTGAGTTTAGCACCCACCAAAAAGAGCTGTAACTTGACTGTGGTGCTGTTTTGTTGTTCTCTCTGTAATCTGATATACTGGAATCTGTCTGATGGCTGATAGTGAACTTGTGGAGTTCTCTATGTGCTCTGACTTTTGTTTTAAATAAATATCAGACAGCACTTTTCTTATTTTTGTACCATCTGGGGTCTCATTAAGATTGTATTAAGTGGTGTTGAAGAAAGCAGTTAAGGAAATATATTAAGATTTGTAACTCGCTAGGAAAGAAGAGGAAAATGAACAATACATGAATGTGACAGTAGAAGGAATAAAGCTAATGATAGCATGAACATATGGCTGTATAAGTTAGCTACAGCAATCATTAAGAAAGATTATGTTCCTGTATACTTTGGAGGATATGGGTAGCTGGATAAATCTTATCCAAAATCAAGTGTTTAAGTGAATCAGGCTCTGAAGACATTGGCCTCTTTGCATTGACTGCAAAAAAAAATGAAAGATGCTACAATGATTATTGATCTGGAAATACTTAGTTGAGCCTATTTGCCTCAAGTTACATGGGCCAAACTGTGGTTCCTATATTGGTGATAATCCCATCTAGTTTTAGGGTGGACTTTGGCTTGTTAATTGGGTGTCTGAGTTCAGGTGTCTGTAGGGTGAGCTGAGTGTCATGTTTGAATATCAATGGAAGATTTGTGTGTAGAGTCAGAGGAGTTTGGGGAGCTACTCAGGTGACAAGATGTAGGTGCTGACTGTAGAATGAATTTAGTAGCTCTCTTGCATCCGCTGTCAGTAGTGGGTGCTTGGCACTCAACCCCACATGTTTACCTGAAGGTGCTGCTGTGTGGGGTTGGGCTTCCAACAGTGGGGTGCAATCTGGTGTAGAAGCTCTGCTCAGCTTGCCCCACATGGGTAACTAGTGCCCTTTGAGATGGCCTGTTACTCTGTTTTCTATTCAGCACAGACTTTCCAAAGGTCCTGTGCTTTTACTGTTCTTTAATGACACCTTGGCCTCCCCAAGGGCCTCTTGGGCGGGCAGGCACATCCAAGTGTGGACAATTGAGTCAAGCCTGTAATGTCAGTGTAGAGACCAGCAAGAAGACTGCATGACCTTTTTTTCCCCCCTTGGAAGGATTTATTTAAATTGAATAGGCAATAAAGGTTTTAAATTAAAATCACTCTATAGTTATCAGTTCAGTCTCTCTCTGCAGAAGTCACAGCAAATGGCATATGTCACCAAGTTACGTTGACAGTGAGTTACTCTGATCCATATGTTCTGCTCATGGAAATTGGCTCATGAATTTCCTGAGCTCTGTAAAAAGTTTTTGAGAAATTATGTGCCATAAATAAAACCTATTGTGGGAGCAGTATGTTCAAGGAGTGAATAGACTTGTATTTATACTGCATCAATTCTTTGGTAAAATTGCTTTAATTAATAATTCAGTTAAGACTTGATTAATACTAGTATTTCTAAATATTTTCTATTAGCACCTGTGCCTTTTTAAGTAATACATAATCAGCAAGCATCATCCTTCTTACTCTTAAATTTTTAGAAGTTGATTTCACTATATCTATTTATTCCTTAGTTTTTCAACCAGATGTGACATTTTTGTAAGAATATAATAATTTGGTTTTTGAGGTACTGCAAACTTTCTGTAGCCTGACTTCGCCATGTTTTGTTTTGCAGGGCACTCAGTCAGTATTATACATGTGAAAATATGTACACATAATCCATCCTAATTTTATAAGTGACTCACTAAGTATGGCATTCTTCTTTCTGGCACTAAAGTTTCAAACTTCGTACTTGTTAGTTGAATGCTGCTTTCCCCTTTTAGCCATGTGCCTTGCAAGGGCATTTTCAAGGTATTTTGAAATCTACTTGTGGCCTCTTCTGCTTGGCTCTGTATCAATGGTTAACACTCAAGTACTTGAGAACTATTAAATGAGTAGTCAGAAAACATTTATAGTGTACCAGAACGTGATTTCTGAAATGGCTTATTGGTAGAATTTGCTTAGTGCATTAGCCAAAAATTAAACCATTTTAGTTGTTACAGCTCTTCAGACACCATAGTGCACATGGAAATAAAAAGCAATAAAAACTGAGTTTTGACTGCAAAGTCAGCATATCTGAATAAGTTCATGCATTGAGAAGAGCTGTGAGCCAAAAGGAAAAAAAAAATAAGTACCAGTCTTATTTTTGAGCTGTAAATAATTCTGATTTTCTTACTAAAATTTTTAATCCTCCCTCATGTATTCTTGCTCCTGAAACTTTTTACTGTGTTATATCCTGATTGTCATAAAAGTTTTAATTTGTTTTTTGAAATATCCCAGCATTAGGATGTCTCATAACAAGGCTAAAAGTCTTGTGAGAGACTTCTGCCAGAGCAGTCCAAGGCAGTGAAATAGTCTAACAGCTACTTGGTCTTTCAGGCCAAAAAATCACTTGAATGGTGGTATGTTCTTTTCACTTTGCTGTGCTCACCAGCCTGTTTCTTTTCTAGTGAAAATGACTGTTTTGAGTATTTCATGAAGGAAGTTAAGAATTCATTTTGGCATAAATCCTTAGGGTTTATTATAAGCACAGAGGTGGTCTCCAGCAGGTGGTTCTTCTGTGAGCCACTCTGGGAACCTGGGCAAGCTTCTCAGCATTCCTCTGGTCTACCACTAAGTAGGTAAAGCTTTTATAATGTTTATAATGAAGCAGACTTATTACAAACCCTGTTTCTGTGGATTGGGCATGCTAGTTTTAAGGAGGATGAAAGTTTAATGTAACCTCCTATGATAGGATCTTTGCTTGGAATTGTGCCTGTTTTCCATGAGCAGTTACAGTGTTGAGGTAACATTTGTTTGCTGTTTGTTTCAGTTGTTTTATCTCTGTGGGTTGGACTGGATTGCATCTTTGTTCTTGCTCTTCATCAGTTATCTTTTGTTTGAAACCTTTCTGGATTGTTATGCTTGCAGCAGTTCTTTATATGTTGTAGGGTCAATTAGCTCGCTGTTTGGATTTTAGTCTTGCTGTCTTTTTTAGGTTAATTGAAGTGAACAGGGCCACCTAACAGTCTTAATGGTGTGGTAGAGCCTCTTCTGTGTCTTCTTAGCAGTAGTTGAAGATGTTGGGACATGCATTAATTCAGTGAGCTGAGAGATGTGACATACAAACTTCCTAGCTGATGCAGATTGGTATAACCCATCTGAAAGTGATGAGATGGTGATGACTGACACCCTGGCTGAAGATACCCTGCCTAACTTCACTTCTGAAAAAGCTCTGAAGCAGGCAGGTAGATAAACAGAGGCTTAGCAAGGAGTCAGTCTGTAGGAGCTCAGCTTTTATGCGGGGCCTCAAAGTGTAACTCATCCAATTCAGCCTTCCAGAGAGGAAATACTGGCTCAATTCAGAATTGTGCTGAGTTCTTACTCAGAAACACCATTTCAGATGTTTAAGAGCAGTAGGCAACTCAAGTCTGTAGGTTTTGCAGTTAGCTGTAACAGTTCATAGTTTTAAGGAGGTAAACTCCGTTTTCTTTATTAAATTATTATTGTGCTTCAGGATGAATGCTGTTATGTCATCTGTGGATGACAAGTTTGGTTGTGAAACAGATCCATTGCAGTTTCTCTCCTTTGCTTGAGATTCCCCTAAACAAGAATTCTTGTTAGAGGAATTTTGTTATTGTGCTGTATTCCAATGATGTATACTGGTTAAGGTTGATAGCCAAACATACAACATACCCAGAAGAAAAACCATGAGGAGACCAAACAAAATTATTTATTTTGATAGTACTGTGTTCTTTTCACCTATTAAAAAAAAATCTGGTAGGTTGCAGCTGGTAGGGCCCCAGTCAGAAGGTTTTACCTGGATGTGTAGCTTGTGGCTTATGCAGGAAGAGGCAGTGTTCTCTCCCCTGATCCTAACTCTCTTCCACTTTCCACGGGTTCATAGTGAAATAGTGAGTCTTAAAGGTATGGAATACACTTCAACTGTTAAAAACCACGGTCATAGGGAATTTTTATGCTGTAGTTTATTATCACTAGAAACAAACAGAAAATACTGTGGGGGGAAAAAAAGATGTGAACAAAAGTTTTTATCTTGTATGCTTGAGGTGTACCTGGTGCTGAAACAAGGGCAAGGCAGATTTTGTTTGTTTGTTTTTTTTTTTCTAAGGTAGATTTTTTTAGGTTTAATTTCATTTGCTGTCCATTGATGGATCAGGTATGTATGCTGTGATACTTAACTGGATTAGTAAAATTTCAGATAGCTTTCTTGATCATACAAAATGCAGGTTAGTCCTATGTAAAATGCTTTTGAGGCAGAAAGTAATGATGTGTAGAAGCTTACAGATGATTGTTGTTTCCATCGTAAATTAAGTGTTTAAAGCTCTAAAAAGTATGAAAAAATTGGCATGAGGTTTTGGTTCCTTTTTGTGTATGTTTCTGATTATAAAAAATGACAAGCAGCCATAGCTCTTATCCACATTTTAGCACCTTTTGAGGAATGTGACATCTTGGAGGCATCTTCTGCTGCAGTACAAACTCAGTGTTTGGAGTGCCCCTATACATGCACAGCAC